GGACTACTCTTAGTGTCACTAACAAAGTTAACTATCTTGTTTCTCAACGAGTCTTATTATTGGCGCAGTTTTTACCTGTTCTGTTTCCTCATTTCTCTATAGAATACTATTTTCATTTTTTAATAATTGCATATATTTGTATACTTCCATACCTTTATTAGGATATTTACTTTATTGTGGCTTCATTTATTTATGTATAGAAGTTACCTTCGTGAGGCCTATTGGGGTGCTGCAGTTTTCCGCTTCACATACAAGGACAATCGTTTGGTTGCAGCTGATCTAGGTGAAACCTCAGACACTCTTACCTATGAATACACAGATCCCGAAAATCCGAGCAAGGCAAGAAGGCGTCAATTTTTAAAAAATTACTTTAGTTAGATTTAGGCCTTTGTTTGATTCATTACCAAATGTTTTGATGAGATGACTTTTATACTAATTCGGAATCTTAGGGAAACTCATGAATACAGGTAGATCTGGGCCATCTAATCCTTTTGTTCTTGTCTAGCTTCCACTTTATATCTAAGTTAGAATATTGAAGTGCTGGCAGTGGCACAAAAAATATTTAGAATATGCTGGAGGACAAGGGTTAATAGTTGGAAAATTTCTTGAATTCTTTCATAGCTGAATCATCATAGAAATTGGAGCCTGATATAGAAGCATTCATTTTTGCCATACATATAATTAATTTGTTTTCTTTAATTTTGCTTACTCTCCCTTTCGTTTATTTTACTTTTTAATTAATTATTTGATTTTGATTTATTTTTATTTAGCCGACGCGCATTTCTGTTAGTGGGGCTGGTGATTTTCAACTGACCTACTCTGGCCCATTGGGACAGACTCTTTCCTTCCGGTCTCATCAACAACACTCTGACGCTGCTCCTATGGGTGGAGGCCTATCACGAGTCATAACTCCTTCGGGTCTGACTCGGGACTTTCTTCGTGTGAGCCTTCTTTTTACATTTTTTAACATCACTCATATTTATTCTTTGATCTGTACTAGAATGCATTTTTATGATATCATGGAAGTTACATTGCATTTGCTCTTATTTTTCTTCTACAACTGTTTGGTGTTATTTCATGCTTTCGAACTTTGAATGAACTGATTCAAATAAATCCCTACTAACCATGAAACGTAAGCTTATATGTGTTTATCATAATCTGAATCCTTATGTTTATACTAGTATTTCATTATGTTTTGTTACAATTTCGTATTCAACATTAGTTGACATGCATTTCTACTTTATTTTCTAACTTGAAAACGAGCAGGTTGCTTACTGTTAACTTCTACTAATTTTGGGTTTCGTATGTGCTTAGCCACAATCCGCTTCTTTCACTATATAAAAAGATTGGCTCATCATATTGATACTATTTTCTATTTTAAGAACCCCACTCATCTAAATAGCTCATATGCAAAATGAATATTAGCGGCATGTTCTATTTAAATGATTTTCCTCACTAAATAGAGGCCTATTTTAATTATACAGGGGACAAATCATAGACGATGGCTAGAAATCACTCTCTCGCGGTCACATGACGAATCCTCTCTATTTGCATAAAATAAAGTTTTATATCCCAATTAATTTGTTAAAGTTAGCCTATTAGTCTACAAAATTACTATCCATTATGCCATTTGTGAATATTAGCTTATTCTCTCTGTTAATTTTCCTATTCATTTGCTTCATACCGAAATTCTTGTTTCCATAAATTCCCTTATTTATAAATATGAATGAGCTGATCAAAACAAGCATACCACAACATTTGTGGGTTGGCACACAGGATACTAGAGCGTAGGAAATCATAGACTTGGTATTAGGAATAAAGACAGGATAGAGGCGGCGGAGACTGGAGCTAGTTGGCTTAGAGTAGGTTTTACCAGAGACGTGGTCCATGTAGCAAAGACGTGACCATGAGGCTTACTCAGATGATTTAGCCCCAAATTAGTCACCCAGACGCAGGGGAGGGGTAATAGCGCATCGAGTAGCACAGATGAGGTGGCAGGGGTCGAGTAAAATATGTGAACCACGGAAATAGCAGACTGATCTTACGGGGCAAGAGGGGGACTCTGATAAGACCTAAGGAAGGAAGACTGCGTAACAATATTGCAGACTCTGATCGACATTCCCAACACAAGGGTGAAAGGGTGTGTGTGTGTGAGAACGTCAGCTTGGAATGTGGAGGCTTTTCATGAATACCACTCAAAGGAGCACACCACACTACATCTAAATAAGCACGATAAAAAAATGTCACAGTGAAGGCGTGATACCAGGATATATGAAATATGAATAGCCCAGGGCAGAAGTAGAGATATCACAACTCTTTAGCACACATCTGTTCAAAGGTTCAGCTTTAATTGTCTCTGACGCGTTGTAGTGTGTCAAGACTCAACGACGATGTCGACTACGATGCTGGCGAAACGTCTGGGAATATACCACGTCCACGGTCCGACTTTGGAAATTATCATGCATACACTGGATTCCGGATTAGCTGCGTTCTTCTAAGTCTTTCTACCAATATGACCAAGTTGCGAAAGCAAGGTCAAACAACTTCTATACAACGAAAGGAGACTGTGACCACACAAAAGGCCACACCATCTTGGTCTTCATATCTTCGATTAAATTCATTTTGTTCTTGTCACTACTGCTTTTTTATATGCTTTCATGATGATCTCAAGTGAGATTAGTTTAAACACTGTTTAATCGTATTTTTTAAAACTATGAAATTAGGACCAATTCATTGATATGAGATATATTCATCATATTTCGTTTAAGATGATTATGGATTGGCAGTTGAATTTTCCATTCGATATGAGTAGACATGACTTTTCCATTAAATTTCGCATAACCTTGCTTTCTCTAAAGTTATTCTAATCCTGGTTTGACTGTAGTTTCGATCTCGCCTAGTTCTTATCAACACCTCTAGCCGGACTGACCTTGACACTGCGGCTTATCATCTCGACACGTTGATCACTATCCCACTATGCCAGGAGTATCCTTGAGACACAGGGCAGATGTGAATTTTAAGTAGGGCCACGCATTTTCCCATATCACATTCAGTGGTTCGATTGTCGATGAAGTAATGTTTTATTTGCTATAGCAATCGACTCAATGTGGTAAAATTCAATTACCATTCCCCTTCTCATCCCTAACGAAATAGGATAAATACATTTCATATATAGGATATACGGATAGTCTCGAAAACCTACTCAAAATTTCAACTTTAACTAATCCGTCTAAAAGTATAGCCACTATGCAATTTAAATACTATCTTATCTTATTATAAAGATTAAAAAGCCTCTTTAGAACTTATGCGGTATTTGAGACCAATTTTCCCCCTAGATAAAATACTTATATATTTAAGCCTATCATGCTTATTTATGTTTTATATCTATGTTTAGCACTATTCATACTTAATTAAATTTCTTTGGTATTTAACAAACTATATTGTTACATTGACATAACGTTCATCCATATTGTTATCACCCTTTTCCAAATAATTCTAACCTCTTCCTTACATCGTCCAAACAGGTCACAGGTCTCGGAATTGAGCGTCTCCTCTATACTCCTTGGCCTGGCTCCCCTGGACCCTGGGTCTATGAATGGCGTACCGGATTAGTGGCATCCGAATGGCTGCCACCGAACGCCTCTAGGGCACCTAGCATTGGTGCTGGAGGTGGCGAACAGGCGTCATTTCGTTTCTTATGGCCCAGCGGCCACCGCCGCGTCACTTGCATGCCTGGTCTACAACTCGTCACTTTTGATTCAGTCCGCATAGATTGGCGCCATCCAGATCGAAATATTCACCTTCGTGATAATTCTCGAAGAGGAAAAGTCGAGACTGACTCCAGTTGGTTTGGTCAACCTTCTTCTGCTGCAGTTGGGCTGGCCCGAGCCCGTCGAGTCCGTATTTGGGACTTGGCAACTGGGTTTCATCTGCACCTAGCGCGCCGATTCCTAGGTCATCTGGTAGCCAGGACATGGGCAAAACACTGGCTTCCAGGCAGCCGGCTAGTTCATCCTCGCCTTGGTGGTCTACTAAGTTGGAGACACACATACACTTATAGTGACAATCTTCAGGTGCTCCATCTTCTGTTCCTTAGTCTTTTTTAATATGCTCAATTTCGATGTTTTTTAAGTCCTTAGAGTCTCGATGACAATCTT